AAACGTCATAGACGAAAATGGTTGTCCAACTTGTGATTGTTTGCCAGGTAAGATGTCAAAAATTTATAGTTGACAGAAATAATTTCATTTTCATATTTTATAATCAATCTCTCAAAGTCTGTATTCTTTTTTTTTTATAACCTCGTTCTTAGGTCTAGGCCTAACATTTTATATAAATGCATTAATATAGTTACTTTTGATTATACTGTAATTGTAACTTATTCTTTTGAAAAATTGGTAGCTCCATGTGACGAAGGCGACGTGCCTGTAAACTGTTTTGAAAGTCCCTGTCAGTTTGCAACTTGTTCCGTCAAACCATCACTTTGCATGTAAGTAATTTGTATTTGGTGCCCTTATAAAATCCGAATTCCCATGAAATCGCTACACACCATCAGCACTGACAGCGTTCGGCGTCGCTGATTGGTGAGTCTAATCTCTAGCGTTGGAGACGTAGACAGCTTCGCAGAGAAAGGCAATTAATCTTCACCGAAATTGTAGCAATTTGTTGAAACAGCTTAAAATATTTCCTCATTATCGTCGGCAGCCTTTTCTGCCTATTTCATGATCAATAAGCTTAACAAATTAATTGAATGCAAATTTTGAACAATTTTGTATGATAGAAACTTGTAGGCCTATATAATAATATACCCTTTAATGTTGATACATTTAGTTTGTTTATCTGTATTTCAATGCCGATGTTATTGTCTTTAAAATATTTTTCTCGTGTTTATTTTAAAACATTTACTAGAGACAACTTTTGTAAAGGATGCGATGCAGTTTTCTACGATGTTAAGGGAAATGTCATCGAGGAGTGTCCAACAGGTAATGTTTGCTCAGTTTGCTAAATAAATGTAAAATGATTATGTTGCTTTTACAAAGTTCTATAAACACGTTTTTACACCGAGATATATTGTAAATCATTTGTGTCATAAAATGTGAATATTTTAACAACCTAATAATGGTAACGGCAAAGATGTTACTTTTGATAATCTAGATCACCTTAGTGGCAGCGAGGATATGCATTGTCAGCCATCCGCATAATTATAGCCAGAGGTTCAAATATTCGTAACCGCTTGAGTAGGAATAATGATAATCAATATATACGGTACCGGTACCATGTCTTGGGCACATTTTCGTCTCTAAGGAAATTTCGAAAAGATATAAGTCACGTTTGAAAACCTCATTAAAAGCATACCCTCTACGTATCTGGTTTTAGATTAATCGCATTCATTTACATGCTTCAACCGTACTATGCAACATTATAATGTTGAGTTAGTGATCTAAAGAAGGACAACATTCCTCTCTCAAATGTTAACCTCTCATGTTTTCCTGTTTTACTAACGTGAATTTGTCCGTGCAAACCATTTTATCGTTTAGCTGTTTTGTATTGTTTTGGATGTATTACTTTGGATTTTAAAATTCCATTATAATGTTAAGCCTAAATTGCTTTGATTTTCTTTACATTGATAGGCTTAATAATGGATAGTATCTAAAAATTGGACCATACTTAACCAAAGTTATGCAATATAACATTGGTAGTATATGGTTATTCATGATAACAGTTTGTATTATTTATTGTAACTGTAAAGTTTTCATAAAACACGTTTATATACTGTAAATGATCGTCGTTTTATTTTTAGTTTGCCCACAAATTAAATGTGGAAATCCATGCCCGTTTGGAACTGAAGTAACTACAGAGGGTTGCCCAACCTGCAGTTGTCTTCCGAATCCAGGTACGTATCTCCTACATAAAAAATTGGATCAATATTTTAATTAATTGAATCATGGCAATATGATGCACTTTAAATAATAATAATTTATAATGAAATATGATATTAAGCAATTAGTCTAGATGGAAATTATTAAGATTAATGCATGGCAAAATAACGCTGGAGTTATATGATGTCGTCACGATTGACATAATAATAATAATAATTAACGCATATATTTGCTGTCATAATAGGCTCTCTTTCATATGTAACAATGGCCTAATATTTATCTGAATAATAATAAATACATTGATATAGACTAATCTTGATTTTACAAATAGCCTGTGTGTGTTGAGATGTGTTGAGATGCATCTAGCAATTAGTCTAGATGGAAATTATTAAGATTAATGCATGGCAAAATAACGCTGGAGTTATATGATGTCGTCACGATTGACATAATAATAATAATAATAATAATAATTAACGCATATATTTGCTGTCATAATAGGCTCTCTTTCATATGTAACAA